ACTCCCAGAGCCTGGAAATCCCTGCTGCTCCCAGGGATCGGCCGCAGGGTCCTGGCGTGGAGCCGCAGCAACGCTACCGCGGCATCGCCCGCAGAGGGAGCTTCCGCAGGGAGCCGGCCACGGCCGGCACCTTCCCATCAACACCGTGCAGCTTTTCAAAAAAAAATTATATATTTTTTTTTCTCCCATGCAATATAAAGTATTGATTTTAAAGTTTTGTCTTTTTTTTTTTCCTGTCCCTCAAATAAAGCAGCATTTTCTTTGGCTGCAACGCGCGAGGGGAGGAAAAGGGAACGGGAGAGAAACCCCAGCGCTGGGCAGTGGCACTTGGTTGGGTTTTTTTTTTTGGAGGGCTGGGTTTTGTTTCCATTGAGCTGAGCTCCTTGCAAATGGTTCCTTTTCCGTTTAACTCCGCTATAATGAAGGAGGGAAAAAAAAAAAAAGAAAAAGCTAATATTTCAGCAAAAATATGACTCTGCAGCCTGCCAGTGCTTGAGACCTAACCGCTGTTAAACAGCTTTTCAGTCCTACTGGATACCACTCAGGGCTTGAAATGTGGAGCCCGATGGCCATTTTTCCTCCACGTTTTTCGTTTAATTTCCCTGCGCACAGGCTCTGGATACTTCTCCGACAGCTCCCCCTTACCCTTTGGGCACAACCGCGGGATCTGCACAGCTCCCGAGAGCCGGGCGGAGGAACGTCCTTTTAATTCACTCCGTGGCCGGCCCAATTAGCATCCCGGTTAAATTATCACCTCGGGGACAACTCCGGTCTCAGGCCTCGGCAGCCAGCTGTGAAGGCAGCCGGTGCGGGCCCCGCTTCCCCGAGCGGCACGGGGAGAGCCGAGAAAATGGAGGGCATTGCCTCCGCGGGGCGAGGGTGTTCGGGTGGCCGGGCAGGGCAATTAAATGGGGGAGAAATTGTAGATTATCTGTTTTATAGCTCCCCGCTAGGAGGGAGGGGGAGAGGAGCGGTAGTAGCACGATCGCATCATTTTTCTGCTGCTCCAACTTGTGGGGAAGGCGAGAGAAGAAACGCAGCTCCAGCCCCAGCTGTGTTTGATCTGCTGGGCTTTGGGATTGAATATTCTCCCTGCAACTGGGTCCTGGGGAGAAATGCTTCTCCATAGCGCAGGTCTGGGGGCTCCAGCTCAGGCTGGATCCTTCCTTCAGTCAATGATTTATGAGCTAGAAGCCCCAGCAGTGGCTGAGCCCCCTCTACCTGTGTCCCTCCCTCCCTTCCCTCCTCCCAAATACCTTTGCAGCCCATGTGGATAAGGCACAGACAAATAAAAGCGTCTCAAGCCCACACAACACCCAAAAACAATGACCCTGTTGCATCCACCATGAAAAGCAGGAGGGGCAGGGGCATGTCAACGAGCCATTTACCGTCTGATCCAGAATAAAAAGTCCTTTTGCTGGGATAGATTTGACACAGGTATCCTCACTCACTCCAGCACGCTTCAGCTCTGGAAAGCCCAGGAGGATTTTCTGCCTGGATTTCAGCACCCTGAAGCTACACCTCCAAAGGTTTGCCAGCCTCAGTATTGCAACAAAGATGTATTTCCACAAAGTTCCTGACCTCTAATTTCACCTGAGCCTGTACCAGCACGCAGACATCATCACCAGCACCTGGTTAGGGATGTTTTGGCTTCCTGACATCCCCACAAGCTTCAGAGGACAGCACAGCACTTGTGCAGTGCAGGTTTTGAATAACTTCGTGACTCGGGGAACAGCCCCGAGGCTCTACCAGCTGGCTGTTGTTGTTTCTGCAATGGGACACTCGCTCCTCTCACCAGCCGTGGGTTTATACCACACTATAGCCATCAGTTCTGATGGACCTACTCCATGGAAGGACATAAAGGGGGAGAGAACAGCCCTTCCCTTAAGGATTTTCCATATTTGTTTGTAGAACCACCAGATTTCCTCACCTCCTGCATGTTTTTGTCTTTAAATTAAGGCACAAGGCACTGCACCTCTGTAAGACCTTGCTGTGAGTTTCAGACTTCAAGAGCTCTGTGCCCATGCCATCAGGAACATCCCAGCCCAGGTGTTTTGGAAGCATCTGACCTACCCGTGCAATGCCAAAAACACCTCCCACACCTGATGCCGTGCCCTTGACTGTTAGCCACGAACAGAGCTGACCTTAAAGGTGAAAACAGATGGGGAAATGCAGCGCTCAGTCCTTCGGCATCATCTGCCGAGTGCCTTCCCTCTCCCCGAGAACCAAACCAACATTGTGGCCCTCCTGCGACTGCTGATGTGCTTCTGGAGCAATCACTCGTTACACTTGATGTCCCCTGCTAATTGCATCTCACTATGTGCCTCGGCTTATCTGATCTCCTCTCTGCATGCTCACGCTGCACTTTTGTGCTGATCTTCATGGCCTGACCTACTTTCCATTTCTCCCAGGTTTAGTTCTCAGCTCCGAGCTCCATGACCCTTCCCGATGCTTCCCATCTTTCTCCTGCAAGACCACAGTTCGAACCGGGACCGTGGTAAGCTTTGACACCCCTGAATGCTTTTTTCCCCCCAAGACCAGCTTCCCAGGGGTTGTACATGTGAATGATCTGCCCGTGCTGGACTTCCCATGGCCGTACATAGCTGGCTTCCCCGGCAGGGATCACCACTTCTCCCACCCTTGGTGACAGAGGTGGCTGCCACACGTCCCCAGGACTTGCTGGGACCTCCTTCCCCTGGAAGCAATAACCCACCTTGCCCACACGATGCTGCCCACCAAGAGCTTGTTTCCTTTTACCCCACAATGACTATCTTGGCTTTTTCCCTTTTAACCTAACCTAGCGAGCCCAGCTGTACCCCGTTAACACCGCAGCTCCAGGAACGACCTCTCCCCCCAAGCAGATCTCGGTGCTTTGTCACAAGCTGCAGCCCCCAGCTCCCCTCCCATCCATCCTGCAGCCTCCTCTGCCCCTTCTTGCCCCTCCTTTGATCTCACTTTCAATGGCAGAGGTCAAGCCCCACGGCCACAGCTCCTTTCTTCCATCCCCAAACCCCGTGACTCCAGCACAGAGGGCTCGCCGGGTGGCACTTTTGGGGGCTCCTTTAGTCTCAGTGGGCTTCAGATCGAGGCCGTGAACAGCAGAGGGTGAAACCGAGAGGCAGGGAAGGAGGGAGGGAGAATTACCCCTTGAACCCGCCCAGCTGCTGACACCACCACGATTTACCTTCGGAGACAGGATCCTTCGAGCACTTGGCACCGAGTCCCCAGCCTTGAGTGCTGGAGGTTTAATTACTGCAGCTTTGTTAAATCAGCGCAGTTAAGCCCCTGTGTAATTGCTTTCTCCGGGGCCCAGCAGTGGTTTATTTGAGGACAGCTCAGACCGACTCGCAGACAACTCAGAGCTGCTCCTCTGCTGTTTACTTCGCCCCCGTTAATTCACTTTAAAACCCACAGCTTTTGAGAAAGCTGCTTCAGAGGAGTGAGGTCTCAGCCTTTGATCTGCGCTGAAAATAAATAAAATGTTGATTTTTTTGTGTGCTTTAGGTGCGCGAGGCCCAGTGGCACCCATTTCTATCAGTGGACAGCAGGGGGTATGAGCACGGCCAGTGAGGACGTATAAAGCACCCCAAAAATGAAAAACACCTCCCCGTGATGGGGCCAGGCTAAGAGGTTGTGCCCAGGGGTTTCTGACTTCTTGGGGGCTTTTTGCAGAGAGCTTTGCACCGCAGAGCCCGTGGGGGCCAAATCCTTCTCCATCACCCTCGGCCAGCTGGGGACCAGCCCAGGGCACGCGGTGCCCCGGCCGCCCTGGGCTCCATCCCTGCATCCTGGTCGGTTGCCACGGTTACGGGCAAAATCGGGGCGTTTTGTGGGGTGGAGGGGGCTGGCAAGGAGATGGCTCTTGCAGGAGGGGGGACGGTGAGGACGGTCACCCGCTCCTCGGCCACCCTGCCAATTTGCATGGAGCTGACAAGATGACAAGGTGCAAATGCGCCGGGCTGCTCGGGAGTCATTTTTACAGCAGCCCTGCCTCGTGCACGCTTTTATTGCAAAGAGGGTAATCGGGCCTCTTCATTATTGAAAACATATTTACTACCCCTCGGCCGCTCTCGCCCATTTTTGCCAGCCCCTTCCTTCCCCCCTTAACTACCCTGTCCTCCACGAGATATGATCTCATAAATTTACAGTGTACTTGCTGTCTGCAAAGTGGATGTTCAGTTTCATTTTTATTGGACTTTATGATACAGGCGGATTGCATTTTATTTGTTGCCCTGCTACCACCGGCCCCGGCACCGCGGGCCCTTTGCAGGTAGGGCTGCGGGCGGGGAGCGGAGATGCTGCAGGTCCCCAGGGACGTGCAGCGTGAGCATGGCAGCGTTTCTCACCGCTCACCGCTCCTCGTGGGCCCCAAAATGCCTCTCCTCAGGCGCTCGGGCTCATCCAAGCCACTCAGAGCGGTGGCACCAATCCCACCGATGCCCTGAGCAATAGCCAGGGATGGATCCGTGCCACAGCTCCCCAGGACACCACCCCTGGCTGACCACAACCCCATCAGGACTCCTGTAATCAATGTCATTATTAAATTAAGTCATTATTAAAGAGCACAAGAAGCTCGCCAGCACATGGAGAGCCTCCTGCCCCTTGGGATCTGCTGGGATCCATGGCACCACCTCTCCCTGCAGCACCGAATCCCCCAAGACATGGGGTTTTGGTGCTCCACAGACATCAGGAGCTCAACGCGCTTTTGGACCCACCTCAACTTGGGGCAGCACGATGGAAATAATCAACTTGTGTCATTTCAATACAAAAAAAAAATAAAAAGGTAACTTTTTTTTTTTTTCCCCCAAGGTAACAAGGGAGAGGCCAAGCAAAGCAGTGCAAAGCAACATAAATGATTTAGGAGCCAACAATTTTGCCAGGGAAACGTTAAAGACGGCGTCTAATCCTTTCATCTAACCCTGGTCCTTCTAAAAGCTTTAAGCTAGGAGTTGACTCAGCATGTCAGTGCCAAAAAGATCCATTGACCTCGAGTTCAGTGCTGAGAAATTGAGAAATGTTCTTTTTAATGTCTATTCAATAAATACAGCATCACCCTCTCCGTGGGCTGAGCAATCCACTTCAAATCCATTACGGCACGTTCTCACAGACTGACAACTTGTCCTGAGACAATAGTGGCGGCGAGATGAGGTTAACCCTTGCCGAGGGGGTGTAAATCTCCGTAGCCACAAGCCTCTTGCTCTCACAAGTCCTTGAAACGAGGGGAGGGAGGTATCTGAATTGATGACAGGCGGCTGCCGCGCGCGCTCCTTGCTGGACCAAGGTGAGCTGCATCGGTTCAAAAAGAGTAAAAAAATATGCCCAGTCAACGTGGCCGGGCTGCTGACCACCTCGAGGCACGCCGAGGAACCAAGGCTTTGTTGGAAACACCACGTTGCCTTCTTCCCATCCACCGGGCAGCTCCACCCAACCTTTCTGGGTGGCATTTCCAGGCTCCAGACGCAGCGGGATGGAGGAGGTCGCACCAGGCACTATTTTAGGCTCTCTGCTGACTCAAGGAAGCCGTCCCGCACTGTGTTTATTTGGGTCAAGTTTACAAACCCTCAGCTCGCTTTCGGAGGCTGGAAGCTTCTATTTTTTCCTCTCCCCACCTGCCTGTACATGCCGGCTGAAGGCCTGAGCGCAGACAGCTCGGCTGGGATCTGCGGTGAGCAGAGGGCTCAGCCCTGGGGCTGTGCACCTGGGAAGTGCCACTTCGGGGCAGCAGGAGCACCAGCAAATATTTATCAGCAACTAGACCACAAAACTCCCAGGGGACCCTTCCCCAAAAAAGATCACAGCCACGGTGTAAGGGAGGCACAGCCACATGGGAGTCCCTAGGGGCTGGCTGTCCAGCACCAGGAGGTCAAAACCCCACACCCCGAGCTCTGCTGCCACCCTACCCACACACACCACGGCTCCACGGGGCACATTTCAGCCCCCCCCAAGACTTTTAGGGTCTCCACCCAGCCACCTGCTTCACTGCTCATTCTGGGTCAGCCCGACGCGCTGAGAATTTCCTGATTGCTTTTTTGGGGAGGGACGGGAGCCTTCCTCCTCCCTTTGTCTCCCCGTTGAAGGATGTGCTCTCGGGCTGAAGTCCTGACAATCCGAGCTGCTGAAATGAATCCTCTTCAGTCTATTTACTTGATATTTACCAAAGTCTGCGATCAACAAGAAAACACATCTCAGCAGCTCACTTGGCAAGAGAACGAATTGAGGCAGCACTGCAGCTGTCATATTTATTTCAGTGGCAAAGCAGGTCAGGAAAATTGATAAAATTAATCATACAAACTAGCAAACACCGGGAGTGAAGGAGAGCGGGAACGGAGGGGAGAGAATGAGAGTGAAGGAGTGTTTGCAGCACCGAGCTGCACCTGCTTTTATTTCTTTTAATGGATTTTTTTTTTTAATGCAATGTCACAGATAAAATTGGCGCAAGGTGCATTATTTTATAAGTAGGCTTGGGGAGGGGCGGTGAGATTACAGCGAGCAGATGCCTATTACGCCGGGGCTGAGCCCTAGCCACAGGCTCTGCAAGGAAATAGGAATTCAAGGACAGAAGGGATTTTGCAGACAGTCCCTGCAGACCAGGTAGGAAGCTCCTTGAAATCAGCATCAGGAGGCGGCTCCAGGTGGCTCCTCAAGGTGCTCCCAGGGCTGTCCAACGGTCCCATACTCAGGACCACGTCCCCATCACCTCTGCTGGTGGCAGAAACACTGCCCTGCCGTGATGTTCTCTAGCTTTACAAGCAAGCAGCCCTGGGGACACCTCGCCAAGCGCATCCTGGTGGCTTCTGGGGACCTGCCTGATCCCAAGCAAGGGGTAGGCAAGCTGAAAAGAGCCACACAACTCGAGGAAAACCTCTGGGAGAGGTTTCAAGCATCAGGAGAGCAACCTGAAGCTGATAGCACCCATTTAAAACCAGCAGGAGACCCCGAGGTGGGTGCAGATCTCCCCTCACAGGCAGGTTGGGCTCCTCTACCCGTCCGACGCTGGGTCTTGAGGGGCGAAGATGGGCCACACGCACCTTCAGAGCAAACTACACACAGGTCTCGGTCTTTATTCCAGGTGGAAAATGTAAATCTGGGTCAAACCCTCCATTCAATCCAGACTTTTTTTTTTTTTTTTAATGCAAAAACTTGCCATTTGGGGACGGGAAGTTGAAGGGTACGTTTCAGAGGTGTCACCAGAATACATTTTGGCATTTCCAGCCTTCAGCTCTCCATCATAAAAATAGTATTTGCGAAAACTCAACCCAAATTCAAAAATAACATTGGTCCTCCCAAAATGTTTTCTCCTCCTCTCACAAATCGCAGATTCACAGAGAAATATCTGCTCTGATCGAGTCCCTTCTCTGACTTTCCATCCCCTTCCTTCACACCTCTCCAAGCGCCCCCCGCACATCCCTTTTCCGAAGGTGAATTACTGCTCTCATCGCTCCGAGCATATTAACAGCGAAGCTAATTAACCAGCAGAACAATTTGCCTAACGACGTGGTAGATTCTCCATCACTTGCAGCCTCCAAGCCAAGCCTGAACGTCTCTCCAGAAGAGCTTTTGCAGGGGGTGGGAATTGGGGGCGAGGCTCTGAGCCCCCCGCTGTGCCGCGGGACCCCCGAGGTGACCCTAAGGCAGGGATTTCCATGCCCTAGGGGCTGGGGACAAGGACCCCGAGGGAGACAAACACAGGGGATGGCGACAAACCAGCCAGATGCCACCATAAACACCACCGCCGAGGAAATCACACGGGCTAACGAGCATTTTAGGCAAGAAATCCCTCTATAAGATCTTGCTGACAAGCGCTATTAAATATTCATCCTATAGACTGCCGAGACATCATTAGACACATCCAGCCCGGCTCCCCACACTCCCGGCTCTGGCATTTGTTTTATGCCAGGCTGACGAGCTAAGGGGACCTCGGGGGGACGGCGCCAGCCACCGAAGGCACCTCCTCGTCGAGGGCCAAGCATCCTTTCCCCGCGCACCAGCACGAGCTGTGCTGGCTCACACGCTGCCGCTCTATTTACGGGTGGGTATTTTTGCATACACTGGCGGTGACGGCGCCTTGATTTTTTATTTTTTAACCCACCCGTCCATAAATGTCTCCGAAAAGCCCGCTCTTCCTTTTATTAAACCCGAAAACAGGCGGATAGATGTGAATAACAAACGAGCGGTACGGGGAGAGGAACCAGCGCGGCTGCTGGCGTCACCTCCCTCCCTCTCCCCCTCCCCGGCGCTCTCGCCTCCTCGTGTAATTTGCATTAATAAAGAGGCTGTTCCTTGTCGGAATGTGTTTCATCCGGTTTAAAATCCCAGGGCGATCCACCAGGAACAGCTCTGGGAGAATCCGACTGTCAGAGCCGACAAGACAAATGAATCCCGGTGTCAGGAGCGTGTGGTTCAACGATGACAGATTGAGAAGAACTGTCCCCCTCTCGACAGGCGGGCTTCATTTTCAAATTAATAAATCTGAATAAAATATTTTCCCTTTCATTACGAGCCGAGCCCGGATGACAGTTCCCGTGACAGGAGGGAGTCGCAGTGTTGATGAGGAGACTTTGCATGAATTCCACCTGGGCTCCTTCGGCTTTATTTTTACCTGCAATTTCAGCCCTGTTTACTTCTCTCCCAGCCCTCCTCCCTCGCTCCCCCTCCCTCCGTCCTCCCGTTCCCTCACCTGCTCCCAGCCCTCCCCTGCCCCTCTCCCGGCCCTTCTCCACTCCTCCTTTCCCCACCACCCCTCGTACGGGCAGGGTTATTTGGAGGCAGAGCCTCGCACCCCGTGCACGCTCATGGTGTTTGTACACGGGCACGAGACGTGCCAAGAGAAGGGGGCTCACGCCTGGTGCACGCACACCCGGTGGTGTTTCCACACTTGCTCACCATGCCCAGATCCACTGAGGACATGCAGGACACACACACACACACGAGGCCACATCTCCAAACCCCCCCAGGTTTGGAGACAAGCCCACGAGCACGAGAGAGATGCAGCAAGCAAGGTCCTGGCTCCAGGAGGTGCCTTTGGAGGCTGAGGGCAGCACACGGCGAGCGGGCGGGCAGCAGCCGGGCGCCCATGACTCTCAAGTCTCCGTTCCGCCTCCGGATCCCACTGTGACCCATAAATACGGCTGGAGAGCCCGTAAACATCTTTACTGCCACGCAGCCACACAGGCAGCGCTGTGGCCCTCTTCCCAAGGACACCGTGGAGATTATTCAGCGATGCTCCCCATGCAACCTGAGCACCAGCCTGGCACAAGGACTTGAGAACCTCTCTCTATGCCCAAAGGACGTCCTGCAGAAGGCAAAACATCCCAATGCCCCTGCGTAAGTTTGGGCAGCCCTCTGATAACCCGAGGAGAGGGCCACGCAGCACAGAAGTGCTCTCAGCCCAAAGACTCAGACCAAGCCAGCAGCACGGAGAAACGAGACGCTGGTGGGAACTGGAGAGTCTGAGCTCGCTGGGGAATTGCAGCCACTGCGGGGCGAGTTACAGGGAAGCCAGCAGAAATGGAGGCACCGACTGATCCTTCGTGAGCCCGATATCCCCCTCCAAAGAAATTAGAAACGTTCCAACAGCTATAGCTGTGCCTGACAGTAAATTTGATTAACTCGCCCGTGGAGTTAATGATATAGAGGGCCGTGTGGATTTTGTTGTAAAGAACACAGAAAAGACAGATGAGAAAATGAGAAAACAAGAAAGTAAATTTAAGCAGCTGGAAGCTTTAACAACTGGCATGATAAATCCAATAAAGAACTGCTCGATAAAACCCAACCACTGGAAAGCCAAACATGGGCTGGGGTGGGAGCACACGGAGCTGGATGTGCTTCAGATCCACGCTGCGGAGCGCACCGCAGCGATGCTCCTGCCATGGCCAAGCAGCACAAAGCCAGGGACCTGCTCCCCATCACTTCCCAACTCTCCTTCGAGTTTCCTTTGTGGTTCTCTCAGGCCCAGGTTGAATCTGCTGAGGCTGACGTGAGCCTGGGGGGATTCACAGGGAGCGAGCCAAGCTGCGCCAGCTCTGCAAGGCGGCGCGGCACCGGGCACGCTTGCCAACCAAACGCGGAGCAGGTATTGCCAAGAAGCCTGGAGTGAAACCCAACATTTGGGCATCTGTATTCTTAAATTCTTGCTTCTTCAAAATGTTATTCCACTGAACCATGCTGGGAGTCCCAGCCAAGAAGAAAGCCTCCAGGAAAGGGACTGCTGAGGTCACCTCCGCTGGTCCTAGCGGCGAGCTTCTTTCTTTCCCACCTCCCCGTGGCAGTGTTTTAGAAGGGGATGGGTGCACATCCAGAGGTAAAAGCCCACAGATCTCCTCCTCAGAGGAGCAGAGGACCAGTCCCACATGCAGATGTGGGTGAAGCCCTGTGCAGCACACAACGGGGCCCAGCAGCCCCCTCTGAAGAAGACACTTCCTACCCATATTTTAACCCACATTTCACTCTCGTGGATGGATTTGTCTGCAGTAACCTGGGACAGAGACACAGGAGCCCAGCTGCCCAGAGCCTTTGCTTGCTGCTGAACCCCTAAATCCCAGGAACCTCTCCCAGGTCTCAATCCAGAATTTGGATTTCCCCTGGGTGAAGGCATCGCAATGAACTGGAGACCTGCTGCCGCTGCAGGCTTCCAGGGCTCGCTCAAGGACCCTTTGGGGTACAAGGAGAGCCAGGAGGTCCCTCGGAGCCCTCTCCCCAATTTCCTGCCCTCCTCCTGCAGCTCAGCCGCCTGCGAGACCCAGCGGCTGGAGGCATGCAGAGCGCTCTGAATTGAGCTGTAAAGAATGAAGGTGAAGTTTTAAGCCGCTAGATTCATGGCTGGGATTTTTATACACACATAAAATATGAATCTCAGTTGTATACAAAGCTGAGACCATCGTGCCAAAAGGATCCCAGTCAAGCAGGCCTGTAAAATGAAATCCTCTCGGACTAATTTAAGGAGACCTGAGCAATATAAATTCTGGCCTGCTCAAATGCAGGAAATAAAAAAAAAATCTGACTTGAATACAGGCTGCTCTCAGCGCGCTCGGCAGCCCCAGCGCGCGAGCGACGAGAAATCCAAAAACCAGAGCAAGAAATTAGCTGTGGAGCTGCAGAAAGCACTCCTCCAGCTCCCCGCTCTACCAGCCTTGTGGGCCTAATGAAACCCTCGTCAGTGGAAATTTAATGCGGAAATAAACTTCCCAATAAATAAGGGGCGCTCGTATTTGCTGACTCCCGGTGACTTCCCTGACCCGCACGGTCCCTTCGCCGAGTGGCTGTGTGCGGAGAAAACGCTCGTAAAGACGCTTCTTAGAGAGGAAAATATTCACTTATCTACCAGCTAGCAAATCTTGGCGTTGCACACCTTCATCTCCTCTGGGTTTAGCGGGGGAGTCCCCAACAAGTGGCCTCCTGGAGGCTGCAGGACTCACTCGCCCCGCAGAGGGGATCGAAGGCACGAGGCGTCCAGCAAAGCTGTAGGAGTTGTCCTCCAGCAGCAGGGCAGCGAGTTTTTGGGGCTGTTTTACCAAGCTTTCTGTGTTGGGGAAAAAAAAAAAGAAAAAGCAAACGCTAGCCATGAAAAAAGCTCCCTAATGAACGCATCACTTCAGCTCCAGAGCTGACGGCGACTTGCAGCCCTGCCCGTCTTTGCTCCTCGGGGCCTCGGAGGAAGATCTCCTCTTGGGCAGCCAAGTAGCAATTGGGTCACAGCGCAGGATTATCTGCTAGTAACAAGCCACAAATGTGCTCTGGGACCAGTGATTCATTAGTGCACTTCATGGTGACATATGAACCAGAACCCGAGGGAGCCTTTATTCCTGCCCTCTCTATCCATTCAGTTGAAAGACAGGGAAAAAGGTTCCGGCTCCGCACTGCTTTCCAACGCTGATCGAATTAGTGCGACCCTACAACCGAGGCAACTCATCAAGGACATCGGGGACGAGGTGTGGCCTGAATGGCAGCGAAGCCCTGGGTCGCCCAGACGTGTTGTAAGACAAATCCCCGCTGTGAGTGGTGCTGGAAGGAGGACAGAGGGCTGGAGAGGCACGGAGGCTCTGCCAGAGGACACGGCTGCAGGGGACCTGTTGCTCCCCAAACCCTCCCCGTGACCCCACAGTGGTCCTGGGAGTACGGATGCTCTTCTGGAGCAGAGCAGCCCCTCCAGAGATGCACCGTGTACCACTGCCCTGATGATTTCTGCTAAAAGGTGAGGTTGAGGAAGGCCATCCCAGGGGCAGGAGGCCTCCCCAACCTCCCCACGGCACAGACTGGGTGCATTGAGGGCACACCAGGAGCTCCAGGATGCTTTCCTTTCAATGCTACCTGCCAAAACGCTTCCAACGCAGCACACACAAGCCAAATCTCAAGGGGTTTTCAGGAAAATGCCCTTCCCTGAGGCCAGGACCTCTGTGAAATGTCAAATCCAGATCAGGCACCGCAGATATTTCTGCGCCAAAAGACAGCAGCTTTTTTATATCGCTGCCCGACTTTCCCCTTCTCATCCTCAGCATCAGCTGAGCCGTTCTGCCCAAATTCTTCACATCCCACGCCAGCCCAAACCCGACAGCCCCACAGCAAGCTGTGCGCCTAAGGCATCGCCAAACCACCACCTCTCATCCTCGAGGAAAGGGAAGAGCCAGGGCTGGTGCTACCCAAGCACAGCCTTCACCGATTCAGTGCTCCTGCAGGAGCTTTAAACGCTTTATTTCCTGACTTTTATGCCGTTTGATTCTTAACCATAATGCTCCATTGACTTTATTTTTCCCCCCTTCCACGCCACTTCTCTTTCTCTCCGCTGACAGGATCAGAGCATCCAGGCCATGGCGGCACATTCCCAGCTGGTGCCTCCCCAAAACCCACAAACCCCTGGTGATTTGGTGCACGGCTCGGAGCTGCCCCAAGGATTTTGGCTTCCCCGTGGTGCCCGGGTTTGGCAGCAGCAGGATGCAGCCAGGGAGCCCCAGAGGTGAGCAGGAGCCGAAGGATGCTCCTCCGCCCAGCTGACCACGGAGGGACGCGCACCCCATCGGTACAGCAGAAAGGTTAATGGGATCGCCCCCTTCCACCCTCTGTCGCGGTAAAGGCGGGATTTATAGCCCCGCTAAAATACTGACCTCTATCTGTTTTATGCTGATCATTAACCGAGATTATCTCACACCAGAGATTTGCTATACCAAAGAGCACTGACATCACTAACTGCCATTAAGTGTATTATACTTAAACCCCATAAAGGGGAGCGAAAACCCATTGTCAGCAGCACAGGGAAAAGGCACATCACCAGGCACGCTCCGATTAAAAAAAAAAAAAGAAGAAGGAAAAAAAAAAGAGCAGTTGCCTGCAGCTCTCTGTGTCTAGCATTTTGCGATCGCAATATTGAGGAAAAACCCTTGGAAATGTTTTCAGACGCTGAAATCCTCCGCGCAGACACCCAAACACCCCGCAGCTGGCGGGCAGCAGCTCCCCAAAGCCCCGCTGCCGTGGGTGCCGCACGCACAACCCCGCGGCGAAGGCACCCCACGGCCCCCACCTCGCCTCCCCCCTGCTCCCCTGGCTGTTTCTGGGCAGTGGCGCATTTGTTGACTTGCTCTTTTGGTGACATCTTCTTTTAATAAGGAAATCTGTCTCTTAGCAGCTCCTCGCCTAAGGCTGCGCTTAGTTAAAGTGTAAAATGTCAAACTTTAGCAAGGATGACAATAACCCTGCTGGGCGAAGCAGAGCCAACCACTATATTATTCGCCACTCCAGGGACGGGGGAGGAACATCGACCCGATCCACGGAGGAAAACGCTGAAATCCCCAGCCACCCCCCCTGCCACACGGACACCAGCCTCGAATCGGTTCCCTGCATTGTTCCAGCAGTCAAAGCTCACAACTGGAGCTCGACAGCGAACAGCACATCCTTCCTATTCGATCAAGCCCTAAAAGCAAAATATTTATGGACGCACACAACCGTAGCGGGTCACAGCGTCCCGGACACGTCCTTTCCTACCCCGTTCTCCCCAAATTCCCTGCAGGCAGCTCAGGATGCGGGCACGGAGCTGGGATCCTTCACTACGGAGCAGATTTATGATGCCAAAAGGGAAGATCTCGAAGGGGAAGATCTGAGCAGACCCCGCTGGTAGCCACTGGGCTTTGGCAGAGGGAAGAAAAGCCGGCGGGGTGCTGTCACAGGCAGTAACCGAGGGCATCTGCAGGGAGAAGGCTCTGTCAGCCTTGCAGGTCTTTGGGCAGTGCTTCCACGCTGCCTGCCTCACCCCTCACACGCCGAGGGCGTTGGGATTAAGAAATCGGCGAGCAGCTCCTGGAGCCACAGCACAGCAGAGCCACGGGCTCACATTCCTGGGCTTAGGGAAAGAGAAGGTCACTTGTAAGGTTTGGGGCTGGACAACGCTCACCCTGACACACAACTAAGGATGGATTTTGGGATGGAGGAGGCCACATCTGGACCAAATCCTGGATGCAGAAGAGGATGCACAAAGGGCAACCTTCAGATGGCACTGGAAGGAAGCGCATCTGGGGGCACCCAAAGCCTGCCGCACAGCAAATTTCCAGCAAACCCTACCGAAATTTCCAGCAAATCCTATTGTTGGGAGACACCTCGCCAGGCTGAGAGGGAGCAACCCACTCTCTCCTGCTCATCGCAGGACGTAGATGACCCAGAGGCCCATCTATACATTTATTCCACACCCCCACGTGCTGCACGCAGCTCTCACTGCCCCTGCCTCAAAAAAAAAAAGGGCTCTCTGCAACCTGTAACAGCCCTGGCGAGCAAGGAGATGTGTGTGTGTGGTGCACACGCGGCTGTGTTGTGTTTTCCCAGCTAACACATGTCAGGATCTGTTTAAGCCTCGCTTTCTGCTCAAATGTCACCCTGCCAGGATTCATTACGTCCCATTTATTAATTAATTAAAATATATTTATACAGAACAGGCTTTATGAGACAGAGATAAAAATAACGTTTGGAGAGCTGTCCCCTGGACAGAGCTGGTGCTCTCTGATGGCAGCAGCAAGGACAGTAGCCACAGCCTCCCCTGTCAAGTGCTGACTCGCGGGGAATTGATGATATGGAAATTTGGTAATTAAGGCTGGGGAGAAGTCAGAAGCAGCTCCGGAGCTGGCCAGCGCAGGGGGGCAGCTCCACGGGCTGGCCAGCAGGTTTGGGGGGAAGAGCTGGCCTTACACAGCCAGGCAGACACGTGCCCGACTGGTATCGTGTCCGTGGGGTCCCCCTTGCTCAGGAAGTGCCCAAATCCCCCCCAGGTTTGGGGCTGGTGGAGCCAGCAGGAGCATCTCCTAGGGGCAGGGGGTGAGGTGGCCCTGCAGCACCCACACATTTTTGAGGGAAGCTCCTGTAAGACCTCAGCCTCGGCTCCGTTACCCCTCTGGCAGAGCCGCAGTGACATTTCCACCTGAAACTCTCCGTGACCTTTCCCTGCGAGCTTCTCGTGCTCGGTTTGCTCCGCCGCTCCCACCCCATGGGGGTGCAGGACCTGCAGCAGGCACCGCGGGGAGGACGCAGCCTCCATCGGTGGCCAAAATGCCGTGCCCGTGGCACCACAAGTCCCCCTCGCTTTCCTCCTCGGCCTCCCAGCCTTGTGCCCGGCTCTGGTTCTTGGGAGGAGCAGGTCCTCACCTCTGGGTGCGAGCCAGCGCGGTGCTGCTGACCCTGGAGGAACTCTGCCAGCTTACCCTGGCCGAGGACATTGGGAAACACACCTGTGGGTACAAATGGGAGCACAGCCACCCTTTTTTATTTTTCTTTACCTAGGTGAATCCGTCTCAGCAGGTCCTGACTGGGTGCCCAGCGCCAGCACCGACCCGCAGCCCGACGGCCCCTGATTGCCGCGCGGGGAGCGCTGCGACCCATCCGTCATCCCCCGGGCTGGCAAGGAAACCACACGCACGAGGGAAGAGCTTCCCTGACTCAAATGATTCTCATTTTTTGAAGGGCAAATTTCCTTAGCCTGCCCACTCAGTCTTGACAAGGACAGCAGGAGCCCCGCCACATGAATACTAATGGCACCGGCGGCGGGGACACGCGGGGACGGGAGCACCGGGGCTGGGCACCGCGAGGCAGCCAGGGCACCCCAAAAGGGGACATCGGGGACCCTCCACGGGATGTCTGGCCCTTTGGGATGAAGGCAGCACCCTGCTGGCACCTGGAGGTCCATCAGCATGCAGTGGGTGTGCCGGATCCAGCCACCACAGAGCATCACCAGGGTGGAAGGTGCAAGAGGGTTTCGCTCCCCCCAACGCCATCCCTCAGCCTTGACCCCTTCTTCCCCCCCCCCCCAAGCCCCTGAGATGTCCCTGGCGCTGGATTCTTATTCAACTTCAAACTGACAAACTGTTTTTAATCTTTTCCTTCCATCCAGCTTGGAGATTGGGAAGCAAAAATCAATACGGGCTGGCAGGTGATCAAGCGGCTTGACAGCGGCGCGGCGGAGAGGACGGAGAGAGAGAAAGGGGAGGGAGGGCGAGAACGGCAGGGAGGACGGGGTCACCACGCACCCCGTGAGATGGGAGGGTCTCGCTCATCCCCTCCGCTGCTGGGACAGCCCGATGGCATCGCTGGCACCACTGGGGAAGGAGGAGAGGAGCCAGCAGGGAGCTGATCCCCATCTCTTCCCCTCCATCCTGCTCGGAGGATGCTGTGCTCGGAGGCAGAGGGGCACGAGGACGCGGGTGGCAGCCTCAGCACCCAGTGGAGGACAAAACCCCACAGAGCAGCCCTTGGGGGTGGGATGTGTGGGGACTTGGCCTCCTCCATCCCCACCTCAACAGTCCCACGGTGCTTCCACAAACAGCAGCTTCGCTCCGAGAGCCCCTGGGAGCGGAGCTGACATTTGAAAGTGATCAGTTTCGGAACTTCCCCCCCCTCCTCCCCACTCCCCTCCCAGTCCCCCTTCCCGTTGTTGCCGCTCCTCCGAGCTTTCATCATCTAACTCGGTAAATCTCCGGGAAATACGGCTGTGTTTCTGTTGTCACTTCTGATCAGAGCCATGCCAGCGGGGCGGAGGAAGTGGGGGGAGCGCGGGGAGGGAGAGGAAAAGAGATCGCCTGGGGCCCCACACGGAGCCGGCATGCAAATGAATGCCAGCTCCGTAAAAATAGCCCCGGCAGTCACATTTTATTACGACCAAATTATTGGGCCTGGGTTACCAGGAGCTGGCAATGGGAAAGGAGAGAGAGGGGCGGAAAGGGAGAGGGATGGGGTCAGGGAGGATTTATTCGGGATATTCAAACTTGGAGGGTGCCCATGGGCACGTCCCCTTCCCACACCAGCATGTTACCAGCTGCTCCCTAATTTCCACAGCCTAATGGTGGCATTTTGGGTTGCCTTTCTCCTAAGAAGCGCTCCATCCTCCCAAAACCGAAGCCAGGCAGGGAGAAGCGATGCCCTCCCCGGGACAAATTCCCTGAGCCGGCCGCCTGCCAGCACCAGCAGAGCTTGGCAGAGGCGCTCCCAAAACGCGCTGCCTCCGGGCGCTGGCAAGAAAACTGGGTCAAGATCTCCCAAAGACTGCCGCCAGCCTTCCCGTCACCGCGGGGAAATTGGGGCTGCAAAACCCCTCCACACCGCAGCCAGAGCTGCCCCTGGGGTGCCTGGTGATCCCCAAGGAGCTGCCACGTACCCAGCACGTCCACCTCCGTGAGAGCAGGAGGCTCGCTGCTGCACAAATAGGGTGAAAGTCACTCTCCAGGCACCAGCTGGAGGATTTACTCTTCCCTGCTCCACCCCGAGCCAATTTTGGGACCCACGAGCCCAGCACCACCCTGAGCAGAATGATGAGAGCGTAAATGTGCGATGTGTCACCGCGACGAGCGATGGAGGAGACATCCCTGGAGGCTGCAGGAGCAGAAGGGATGCACACACGGCCTCCTGCACAGCTCTTGCCAAATTTTAAGCACCCCGAGTGGCACCCAATGGGCAGGGCAATGGGGTAGGGACCCCAGCACAGCAGCTAGGAAAAGGATTTGCCATCCAAGCAACACCTCTGCAGTTTGCCTTCTCTCCCATTCCCCCCACCCCATCACCCCCAGGTTTACTGGTGTTCCAGCACTCACATTTCCAACAGTTAGATTTTCACCACATACTCCAATTTTTACCCCAAAAAATCAACGAGTGAATCCATGGCTGGGCAGCTGAGACGTACAATCCTGGGCACGTGCATACAGTGGGGGGAAAAAATGATTTTATAGAAGCTCCTTTCAGATTTGGAGGAAAGACCTTCAGAGGAATGAAGCAGAGGAGAAGCGAGCTCCACCCCAGGCCTTCCTGCTGAAAAAAAGCCCATTTTGGAGCTAATTCGGGAAAGGCCTGACTCACCCTCCCGAAGTGCCCAAGACTCTTCCTGCTGATGCGGCAGGAGCAGCCGAGATGCCAGCCAGCTCCCGTTATCACCTCTGTGGGACTGCCTCGCCATTAAAGGCAGCCGAGTTGCGAGGCACGGAGGGAACAACATATGGGCAGGAGCGAGGGACTGCTTTCCCTGCCTCTCTTTTTAGCCCATAACCGCGCTCGCAGGAGGATCCCAGAGCCGCAGTGCAGTTCTTACCCGCTGCTATTAAACTTCATTAACTGATATATAGTTGCGCGTTGGCTCAACGACTCTTAAAGCCTCTTCCGGGGACTTCCCTGCGCACGCTGTAAATTGCCAGTAACTGCCTTCCGCGGGGAGCAGGCTGCTCGAGCACGAGCATCCCACCCCCCCTCCGCCAACACACGGCGCTCGCTCCCCTTCCCCAGCTGCTCCCAGCACCGCTTTGGGCCAGGAGGATGGGGAAACCCCCTGGGAAAGCTGGATTTGGGTCTTAGCCCATCTGCAGACCTCTTCTTTTTTCCCCTCCTCCCTCCAGCCCATGAATTTAACCCTGGCAGCAGACCTGCTTCTGTTTTCCAGGCTCCCCAAAGCAATCCAGCGGTGCCAGGGGTGCACGGGGCCACCAGCCACATCAGGACACCAGTGCTCATCCCCACTCCCTTTTGTCCATGCCCCCAGGTTTGGGGAGGCTCAGGGCAGCTCCTGCATTTTGCCCCCTGCACCTGGAGGCACAGGGAGCCGCTCTCCTGACTCTGCTCCAGATTCGGAGGGAGCCTCCCCAGCACGTTGGAGATCCTCAGCGGAGCAAAGCCCAAAACTTCCCTCCCCGCTGATCAAAGTGCTCCTTGGGCACGGAACTGACAGCCCTGCTTCCAGCCCAGCACTTTCAAGGTTCGCGTTGTCTTACGTAAACCGTAATCCAAAGCGATCTCAGATCTAAAAAAGCCCTCAAAACGCAAGCTTTTGGCCCTGACACCAAGTGGGTCACTCCGGCAGCGGTTCGTTTTTAGCGCGTCTCCACCCCCTGCGCACCCAAGCACGCGCCAGCCCGACCTCCTTTCGGAGAGCTCTGGCTTTGATGCCGCGGCGCACACAGATGGGATGCATTTCTGCATCTTCCCCGGCACCCTGGGATATCTCCACTTGTGTGATTATTCAGATAAGCTAACCTGAAAGCAAGCTCCTTTGCCAAAAACAGGAGAGACTTTGCTTTTTGGGCAGGTGATTTTCCCTTTCCAGGTGCCAGCCTGTGTTCCCTGGACAGAGGGACAACATTTGGGCATGGAGAAGGCAATAGCGAGTCAGGGCGATACTTCTGGCACCGAGAGCAGCTCGGGGGCAATTTCCAGCCTGCAGAGAGTCTGCGAGGGGATGGTGCCATGCACAGCAGCAGGCAGGGTAATAGCAGGGCCGTGTGAGCACAGGCGGCACCGCTGCGGCCATCCACTGCTCGCTGGCTGTCATTATCCCCGGCCACCGTGCCATCACTGAGTGCCTTTCTGCTGAAATTATAACGTGTCTCCTTTGATTATGCTAATTGTTAATGGGAATTCTAATTTGGGGTTCATTTTTCACCACGGTTTAAAAAAAATAAATTACAGGCGAAGCGGCCGCAGCTCCTCCGCCGTGCCCAGGCTCCCTCCCGCCGGCGCTAATTGAAACGTCCCCGCGCTGACACCGGCTTTGCCCCTTGTCATAAAATCAATGTCCTTCCCCTGCCCGCCCCGTGCCGGCCCCTCTCAGCTGCCGGGGCTCCTCTCTGGCTCACCGGGGTTAAGCGATGTCCGCGGTGCACCCGGCCGCACTGTCAGGAGGCATCGAGCGACTTCGGAGAACGACCCACGTTAAGAGGACGTGCTGGGGTTAGGAGCACCATTATTGCCATCAGCACCGCGATGGGATGGAGCCGTAACGATGGGGGAAGGTATTTATCACTGGTGTTTGGAGGTTGCTTAGGATGGTTTGGGTCTGAAGTGTCTCAGCAGGGAGAAATGGGAAGTATGGGAGAGGAACGGCTGGACCACAACCAAGCAGCACCCCACAGCAAACCCCCCCAGTGCCCTACTCACAGTTTTGGACCACAAGCAGGAGAGGTGTCCCTGCAGTCCTCAGGTCCCCAACTCTGCCCCAAAAAGGCCCCACAAGCCCTCTTCCAGCCCCTTTTATCTCCTCTTTGTCTCCTTGCCCCCAGCCACACTCAGCTGCACCACATCACTTCATTAGCACTTAATTAGGGTGCAGATGATGCCCTGCCCTCCCTGGCCACCTGGAAGCTCAGGTTGCTTCTCCCCAGTCCTGAAAGCATGGGAGAAAACCCCTCTGATTGGGGTGAGGTGACCCCAAAAGCCACTGTGAGAGCCCTGGCTGTTACTGAGAGGGAAAATGATGGGTGGGGGGAGAGGAGAGGGGCAGAGGAGGTGCCCCCCAGCCCTGGGAGCATTTTGTGGGTGTTGCTTTGCTGCAAAAGCTGGGCTTTCCTTTGCAAGATGTAAAAAAAGACCCTGCAGAGTAGCTGAGCCCGCATCAAAGGCAGGGGAAGGAAAGAGAAGGGCTGGGGTGGAATAAATAGAAGAAAACATCTGCATGGGCAAGGTGGGAAGGGGGGAGAGCTGATGCAAAAGCCATTTTCTGGGAGGTGCAAGAGCCCCGTCGGCTCTGCCCCCATCGTGCCAGCTCCGGGTGGGCGCGAGGCTGACGCCGGTCCCGGGGCAGCGGCGCCGCTGGCAATATTGACAGCCAGAAGGATTGCTCATTTCCCACAGCCCCACAAGGTAAATTAAAAAAAAAGGAAAAGTCAAAGCTATCTCTGGCTGCTCGCACTCGGGGAGTCCCAGCTCAATACATCTTGGTTACTCGGCAAAGATGCTTATTAATAAACAAGAAAGGCAAAGTTAGCTCTGTGGGGTCCTTGGCGTGGGGCGCGCTCGCTTTGCGAAGGCTTTGTGGGGTCGGGTGCTGGGACAGAAGCTGAGGCTGAAGCTGAGCCTCCTCCATGTGGGTACAGTCCCCAGGGCACCCACGCAGGCGGTTTCGTGCCATGGAAAGCTGCATCCATGAGACAAGGCAGCGTCTGCCTCACCCAGCTGCGTGATACCCGCTGCATGAAGGCAGCCCCCCAGGCTAGGAGAAATATGGCAAAAATGCAAGCCAGGCACGAGGAAGGCTGCAGCCAGCAACCGTGGAGAGTCTGTGAAATCTTACCCACCGCAGAACTCTGCTTCCAGGCTGACTTCAAGGCGGCAGAGACTGCACGAGTCACACTGGTGGCCATGTGCCTTTTCTTCAAGCAAGGGTTTCCTGCTGTTTTCTAACCTCAAGGCAAAAGAGAAAACATCCGTCCTTTCACCAGCTCCATTTCCATCCCAGATGAAGAGTCGATCCCCTCCTCTCCTTTTTTTTTTTTTGGTCTCGCCGAGTGTCACAAGATGTCCCCGAAGCGCTGCCTGGTGCTGGTGGGAAGCTGCTGAGCTGGGGACACCCAGATGCCGTCCCTCCAGGCTCTGCAGGAAAAGCCCCACTGAAAAGCAGGGCTGAAAATCTTGCATTATTTCCCCAAATCGTTCAGCATTCGGGCTGGGGAGCTGCATAGCAGCTCATGGGGCGGAGGACAGGCTGAGATGTGCCACCGTGCTCCCTGTCCCTTCCAACCTCCTTGCACCAGGTGAATTGTCACCTCTTCTTCCCATGGGGACACATCCAGAGCAGGCTGGGCAGGTGGCACCAGCCACGAGTTGGACCATAATAAGCACACAACCCAATGCACAGACCCTCCTGCGCCTCCAGAGACCCTTTTAATGATAGAAATGATGGTTCCCCCAGATTTAAATCTCACACCAGTGGGCAGCAGCACCCAAAGAAGGTGCCCAACCTCTGCTGCGTGGTCTCCTGCTAATCCCATCTGTGCACCACGGGGCATCCCACAGCGATGCCATCTCCAGCTCTCCAGGCCCACCAGGAGCAAATCTCCCCACAACGGGGGCCGGGGACATTTACATCCCTGGCAGACCCGTGCCCCTTGCCCACCAGCTTCCTCCCAACATTTTGTTTGCTTTCCCTCCTCCGCGCAAAACTCTGCGGCAGAGCGAGACACATCCAAATCGCTGAGGCTGTGATTTTCGTGACACCGCTGCCTGGCTCATTTCTCTCCTGTCCTCTCACTTTTGTGAAGGTTAAAGGCATCCTTCCTCGGCGCCTGTCAGCCTGTTATCTGGGCTGGAACCAGCTACCCGAGCTCCACGAGGAATATTTTATGCAGATTCTCCGCTGCGCCTTGGACGGCTCATCAGTAACCGACCCGCTGCCGGTGCCGCGCGGTTTTATTCCCCCAACCAGCCCGGATTCCCCCCACGCCAGTGGGGTGAGGACACGTCTGGCTGCAGACGGCGTGATTTCAGAGGGGGGAAGGAAAACCAGCTGGATCCGCCAGGCAGCGGCACCGGCAGCTAAAAAAATACCACCTCTTAATGTGCGAGCAGAGCGCGGGGAGCACAGGAATAAACAGGAGGCCCCGTGGTAGCGTTTTTACAAGTCCCCTGGCTGACTGCTAGAGCCCTTTCACCAACGCATGAGCGAGCATCCCTGGTTTGGGGCTCAGGAGCATGCTTGGCTCCTCCGGGGACTGCCAGGCTTCGGCTGCAGATGGATCCAGGCAACAAAGCCCATGCCCGGACGGCGAGTCAGGAGGACTCTGCACCCATCCACGGCTTGAAGCTGAGGCGAGAGGCCGTGGCCATGCCTCCCCGAGATGGTTAAATGGATTTGATGGCGCCCAGTCCTGGCCCGAGAGCAACGGCGAGGAGGGAGAAACTCTTTCTGCTGCTTCACAAGATCTCCGAAGGGGCCGGGCAGGCTTTTTTGCTGAATCAGGCATTGCTTTGTGCTCCCGCCGCTGGCGGGCAGCCAGATGCGCACCATATTGCACAAGCCGGCTGATTTGGCAACGGCGCGATCCGGTGCCGCTCGCCCCTGCCTCAGCCCCGGCTCGTCCCGTGGGGTGAGCGGGTAATGCGCAGATCTGGTGTTAATTAACGGGAAACCACAGCCGCGGGCAGCGATCTGTCATCCTCTTTTGGATGCAGCTTGCGGCTGCTAACAGCACCCCCCCGGGTGCCCCGGCACATCCCCACGCCCGGGCACGGTGACCCCCGGCTCTCCAAGCATCATCTCCACAAGCTCCTGGGCACGCCTCTGCCCCGAAGCATGGGTTAGGCACCAGCAGGATGGCCCTGCTCTGGTTTGGGAGCAGCGAGCTCTCACCCACATCTCCATCCGTGGCACGGCAGCACCCATGGAGTCAGAATTTGCGCTGCCGACGGCACCGAGAGCAGAGCCCAGGCAGCGCCAAAGGATTTGGAAAAAATCTCCCAGGCTCCAGAGGAAAAGGCGGTGCTGGTACCCCGAGTGCCAGAGATGAAGCGATTTACCGAGTCGATTGTCATTTTTCCAAGGACAAACGTGTGCTAGGAGATCTCCAGGTCTGCTGGCACGCCGCAAGCTCCGGGCCGTCAGCCCTTTCGCTGCCTCCACTCATCCGTCAATAAACCCCGTGCCCATTCAGGCCGCAGGAATGGGAAGGGATGCTTGCTGTCTGCCCAGCACGGATGAAATCCCACGCTGCACAGGCGATGCTGGCCCAAGATTTCCCACTGGAAGCGCCGAAATTGCCAATCACCACTTGCAAAGCCTTCCGGAGCTCAGCAGGAGGGGACAATAAACCGCAGGGACGTTATCTGGCCCTAAAGTCCGTGCAGGAGGGGATGGGAACTCACACGTCTCCCTGCTCCATGAAATGTCCCGGTGGGGTGACCACACGGGGCCAAAACAAAGAGCGAATTCCCTCCAGCACGCAGGGAAGATCGAGCTGTTTGCTCGGTGGAGGTCAACGAGTGGTGCTGGTGGGAAGGCGCCTCCTGAACCTGCAGCACGCGCTGCCACGGGGCGATGCTGGAGATAAACCCTGCCACAATCCAAACAGGGGATGGATGTTTTTAAAGGGAAGAACGTCCACGGTTGTCATGTATTTTTGGAAGGACATGGAGCCTTTCTGTTCGTGCTGTCCTCCAGCAGCAGCCCTGGAAGGGGTAAGGCATGGCTCACCCAAAAGGTGCTCGTTCTGGGACAGAACCATTTTTTGGGGCTATTTTAACACTTCCTCCAAGGCATATTCCCGGGGCCTGCTGGAGAAGGGACACAGCCAGAGGAATAACCCAGTGTGTCCATCAGCCACAGCTGCCTTCGTGGCTCCCTGCACAGCACCACAGCACCCCTGCTCATGGGGAAGCACAAGGCTGAGTGCAGGATCAGGCCCCTGGGGCAGGTGCCTGCTGCCAGGAGGGCTCAGAGGAGATGCTGGGGGTGCTTTGTTACGGACGGGGAGCAAGGCAGGAGATGCTAGGGAGGGCATCTGCCTTCCCCGTAACCTACATCTCAGGCTTTGCCCTTTCCCCTGCCAAGCGCCTGGGAGAAAATCCGGGAGCGGACCTCTGCGAGCGCAGAGCAAAGCGGCTAATTTAAACCAATTATCCACCGGCTAATTAAAACCATCTCCGTGTCCTAGAAAGGCGACCGGCCAGGTGCTCGGCTCCAGCGTCTCGTTAAAGCCCCGCATCCCACGGCAGCTCCCGGCCCCGTGTCCCGTGCACGGCATCTCCCTGGAGCCAGGCGGGGGTACCTGCGGCAGCGGCTGTGCCGTGCGCGGGCTGGGATTTTCAGCCGGTTGTGCCTTCCCATGCAAACTCATTAGACACTATTTACACCCGCTGCAGCTGTGCAGAGAGAGGTTCTGAACTCTGGCATTCTACAGTAGGCTTTGTTTCTCATTTACATTTGCATATTAAAGTGTTTGCCTGAAATAGGCTATTGAAATTAATTCAGGATTAATTGGTGTCTTTATCTCATTAGGACAATCTAATTTAAGGATGATGAAATTGTTTAGCCTCCCGTTTGCATAATTAGATTGCTTTGAATTGCTGTCATTATTGTGCTCTTTAGCATCATCTGTAGGCCTCAAACAGACAAGAGTTTCAACCTCATAAAGACCAATCATGTGTTACAGCACAGAGCTGTTAACCCCTTTTAACCCAAACTCCCTCCAACCTGCGCCGCACAAAGGAGCGGGGCCCTGGAGGCTCGATGGGGAGGCCGAGGTCCCCTCACCCCCTGTAAGGCCCCGTCCCCTCCTTCCCTTTTCCTTCCCTTTACACGCTCGGGGCGGCGAGGTGACGGCCGCCTTTCTCCTGGCTTTGCAGCGAGGAGGAGGACGGGGGCTCTCCGGGAGGGTGGTGAAACCCTTTGGGGGCTCAGCACCGGGCACGTGGGATGCTAAGAGCAGAGCCACAAGTGTTCGCCCTCCCTCTTGTGTCCCCTAAATCCCAACAGGGTTGAACCACAGCCCAAAAGGATGCTCACGGCCACGTGCCCTGCAGTGTTGTGTCCCCTCCAAGGTCTCCCCAAGCTCTGTCTCCTTCTTGGCCATGTCGGAGGCTGCTCCTGAACCTCTGAGCAAGGAGTGCTCCCCAGGACACCCTGTCCAGCACAAAGCCCTTGGGTCTGGTAGCAGCACACCCCTTCAGATGGGTCTCCTCTCCCAAGGAGGTGGAGAAGGAGGTGCCACCACCGCCTGCGTGGTCCAGGGAAGGACAAAGGGACACAGAAGTGGCACTAAGGCCTCACCTCCACATGGGATTATCTTAACCGACTGAAACTCACCCCATGCTGCAAGGGCTGCCCTGATGCTACAACGGAGCCGTGCCAGCCCCACGCACGGCTCAGCCTCCTCCCGGGGACAGCAGGGA